AATGAAAATAATGCCGTTGTTACACTTTGTATGGGACTATCTTGGGCCTCGTTCTGCTGATCTCGATTCATCCCATTTCCCCGATACCTCCTACCGATATGAAACGAGAGTTTCCGAGACTGCAAAGCGTCGCCTCGTCCACATTTTCACCCTAAATATCCTGTATTTTCGGTACCTACTTAACTGGATATTTACCACTTCTATCCACTGCTTTTTTGCTCATCCCATAGAGTCGAAAACGCCCTAATTCCAAACCGTCGACTACTGCCGCTCCTACCNTGTTTGAATGGCTTCGAAAAAACTACGTAATGCATAATCATTCCAGTGTGTCTCGAGTGCAAATCTACATGGATTATCAGCGTGCACATCAACGCCGATTCGGTACACTATCTACCGCGGTTTCTCCTAAGGATTTCCATGCGTTGATCAAGTCTGTCTTCCCCGGTGTTGGTCAAGTCAAAGTACAAGTCCCTGGCGACAAAGTAATCATTCATTATAACAATTTGCGCTGTTTACACTCCCCCGAAAGCAATACAGAACAAGGTGTAAATGACATTATGGCGGCTGTACTCAGCCCAACAAAACAGGACGATTCCTCTGTCGCGAAGCGTTCATCGAAATCAAAGAGTCGAAAACGCCCTAATTCCAAACCGTCGACTACTGCCGCTCCTACCAAACGGATTGCTTCGTGGCCACAGGCAAATGGCCATACAGACACTAAGCAGTTGGTTAACGGTCGTTTATTGGAGTCCACAGCAAACGGATTGACGAAGGACTTTGTTGGTTTAATCACACACCCCACATCTACAGGTTCCTCTGCTCAGACCAACGGTACCCCGACTCCAATCCAAGCCAACACAGTCAAGCTGTCCGGGGCAGGGCTCTCTCCGTGCCCGAAGCTGAATGAATTAGTCTCTCGCGACCACGGTCTTGTTTTGTTCCCGGATTTTACTACGCTTAATTTCACTCCTACCACTGGTGCGCCAATATTGCCTAACCACTCGGACCAAACAGGACGGGATCTATCCCGGTCAGTCAATTCAGATGGATCGCTATCCTCCTCCTCAACCACTGCCCCTGTGCGAGTGGCTCAGATAAAATCCGGAGATGGGCATTCGGACTCCGGTGCATTCACCGCTGTGATATCTAAACCCGCCTTGACACTGCGACCCATGCTCGCCGTCAAGTGTACCACAGCTCAAGAGCAGTTACGTCCAGGGGCGACAACTGTGAACACAATGTCCTCAACACCAGTAAATTCTAGTCAGGCCGTATGTCACTGGAACAATTGCGGCACCACGTGGAAAGATGTAAACGGCTTGCTAACGCATTTGTGGTCCGAACATCTGACGACTGTGGTGCTCAAGCAATTGGTAAGATGCTCCATACCCTGCGCAATGTAGTCTCCGTTATGGTTTAAGTGATACAACTATATCCACATGTCTTAAATTGTAGCTAATCTAGCGGGATTGTTCGTGCTGATACTTTTCACCTTTC